GACTCTGGTCCCGGCGCGCAGAGGACTTTTATTACCTGCGAGGATTGTCGCGCCATTTGGCTACTTTGCTTTGAATTGAGAGCCAGGAGCTGGTGGCTGCGGAATAAGAATGGGGCTCTTTCCCAAAGAGTTTCTAAATTTACCAGCGGAGCCCAGGAGGAGGCCCCGCACATGCATATTCAGAACCAAAAAAGACTGGCGCGCTTTTTTTTTTTTTTTTGATAAACTGGGTCTTGCTCCTTGAAGGGTGGGAGGGAACGTGCTGTCTGTATGAAAATGTCAAGGAACTTATCAGAATCACATTAAGCATGCTAATTACCAAATATTAAATGCTAATTACTCCATACACAATTTGAATGCTAAGGAAGGAAGATGAACTCGGAATAAGCTATTCCTGACATGATGTCAGGGATGGTTTTTGACTGACACTCAAAAGCCTCCACCTGGAGTGGGAGCGTGCTTCCTTGTCATAACGCACAGGCTGAAGGGCACGAGCTTTTGCTCGAGCTGCACCCTCAAGGCTGTCGGTGCCTTGGCTGACTTCAAGCTCCTAAAAGGAGTCGTTCTCGAAAGATGCCACGGAATCCAAGTGAAGGATCATAGTGGCTCATATGGAGATACTGCGTCCAGTGTTACAGGTTTGACTGGGACAGCCTGTACTTGGTCAGAGTGTCTGCACCGCACTTCGGCCTCCGGATTATGACTGGCTGTTTGCTTGCCAGGAACCCTGAGCCAGAATGCAGATTGCCACAAGGCTAGGGATGCTTCCTGGAGATGGCAGCCCCTGATGACAACATTAGTTAAGTCCATTCCATCCCTCCCCTGGGAGCAAGGGAGAACAGAGATGTCTGATAAGAAAGGACCTCAGTTGAAAGGACACCTTCACTGGGCGTTGGTGGCGCACGCCTTTAATCCCAGCACTCGGGAGGCAGAGGCAGGCGGATCTCTGTGAGTTCAAGGCCAGCCTGGTCTCCAGAGCGAGTGCCAGGATAGGCTCCAAAGCTACACAGAGAAACCCTGTCTCAAAAAACCAAATTTAAAAAAAAAGAAAGGACACCTTCACCAGATTAATTGATGATTGCACAATTGAGTGTGGTTCCTGCCCTGGGCAGGTAGCCCTGGGTGTCTAAATAAAAAAGCACTGTGAGCAAGTCATGGGAGTAAACCAGTGAGCTTGTTCCTCCACTGTAGGGAGAATTCCCACGGGCATCAGCCCTACAGGTGCTTGGAAATTCTCCCTACACTCCATGGCCTCTGGCTCAGTTTGTGCCTCCTGGTCCCTGCCCTGGGTCCCTCAGTGATGGACTGGACTGGGATGTGTAAGCCAAATAAACCCCTTTCCTCCCCAAGTTGCTTTTGGCCATAGTGTTTATCACAGTAATAGAAAGCAACCGAAAACATTGTCCGACCTCCTTACTGTCTGTGTTTTCTACTTTCACAGGTAAATGGGCCCAGTAAGAAATTGGTGGGATAAATGAGGAGTCATTTGAGGTCTCTGAGAAACCTCATCAGAGTTTCCCTATGGAGATCAGGCTGTCCTGGAACTCATGATCCTCCTGCCTCATCCTCCTGAGGGCTAAGATAACAGCCATCAGGCCTGGCTACTTCCCTTCCACTCCTGGGCCTACCCCAGTGCCTTCTTCCTCAACCACTCTCAAAGGAAACAGCTTACCCCTAGAGTTTCCACCTAATCTTTACAGTAGAACTGCCATGGGTTAGCAGAGATTATGTGCTCTTTGCTCTGCAATGCTCATTGTTGTGGGGTATTTGTACACTGCATGAAAATGTATTGCTGTTATTGGTGTAATAAAAAGCTGAATGGCCTGGTGGTGCACACCTTTAATCCCAGCACTTGGGAGGCAGCTGGAGGCAGCTGGAGCTCTGTGAGTTCAAGGCCAGCCTGGTCTATAGAGTTCATTCTAGGACAGCCAGGGCTGTTACACAGAGAAACCCTGTCTCAGGCAAAAGGAGAGAGAAAGAAAAAGCCTTGGGCTGGAGAACTGGCTCAGGAGTTAAGAGCACTGGCTGCTTTTCCAGAGATCCTTTTCCAGAGATCACAACCTCTGAGTTGTGATCTCTGGAAAAGGCTCTTAACCTCTGAGCCATCTCTCCAGCCCCTGACAGTCTTTTTTTTTAAAAAAAGATTTTATTTATTATATATACAAGATTCTGCTTCCATGTATATGCACACCAGAAGAGGGCACCAGATCTTATAACCGATGGTTGTGATCTTATAACCATGTGGTTGCTGGGAATTGAACTCAGTCTTTTGTTTCTAAATTTATTTTTTATGTGTGTCTGAACAAGGGTGGCAGACCACAGACAGTTGTGAGCTGCCATGTGGGTGCTGGGAATTGAACTTGGGTCTTCTGGATGATCAGCTGGATTATGCTCTTAACCACTGAGCCATCTCTTCTGCCCCCAGAAAAGCCTTTCAGTATCACATTATGAAGAGAACAAAAACATGTCCCAGCACTCAAGAATGGAGAGAACTGATTCCCATAAATTGTCCTCTGACCCCCACACTAGACTGTGCAAACACATAATAAATAAATAATGTAAAAAAGAAAATGGGAAAGGGCTAGGGTTCCTTACCATGGACTACTTGCCTAGCATTGTGAGACCCTTAGTTAAACCCCATTGTCATGAGAGCTACGTGAGGTGGCATATACCAGCCACCAGTGCTTTGGAAGCTGAGTTTGAAGCCAGCCTGAGCTACCCAGTGAGATCTTGTCTCAGAGAAAAGGACTGCCAGATGTAGTGGCAGACACTTGTGAGCCCAGCACTCCGAGTGGGAGGCAGGAGGACTGGATGACAGAGTGAGACCATGCCCCAATACCCGACCTCCCATGTCAAGAGCTGAGGTAGAGGCAAAGTTGGTTCTCCCAAGAATGCTTCCTGAGTAGCTGAGGCAGAGCTGCCCCATGGCCACACTGGCCACCAGCAGTCCACAGAGCCCTCTCAGAGGGCTGATGGACCCCTTCACTGCGCTTGAGCAGCACCCTGTGTGTGTGGCCTTGGGTTTCTGGGCACCCTCTCTGGGCATGTTCCTCTTCCAGTCTCCTCTTCCAGTCTCCGAAAGGGTGCGACTCTTTTCTGCCAGTGTTGGGGTAAAAGCAAAAAATTAAGCCAGAACGAGCTGTCTTCCAGTAGGAATGGATTTTAATGATTTTAAAATGGGTTTGTACAAAGTGTCACTGCCTGCAGCCCCAGGAGGCTCTCCAACACTATCTCTTTGGCCAGTTGTGCCTGAAGCCTCTGTGGAAATAGATAAAAAACCAGGGTTACTTCTTCGGGTTTAGGAACTGTGCAAATCTCAGGAACACACAGCAAGGAGGTGCTGGGCAGCATAGCAGCATGAGGCTTATCTGGGGGGCTGAGGTGTGTGGTGTCTGTGGTAGCAGGCCTGGCCTGCTTCATGTGTGGGAACCTGACCTCGAGCTCATGCTATGGCAACACTCACCGGTGATGACCCACTTGCTAATTTCTCTCCCAAGAAACAAGTTGGTGTCAGAAAAACTCCCACCCCTGTGCTCTGAGGTGAGGGTACCCAGTGGGAAACTACAGTGTAAGAAAGGAAAATGGGCTGGGCAGTGGTGGCGCACACCTTTAATCCCAGCACTCGGGAGGCAGAGGTAGGTGGATCTCTGTGGGTTCGAAGCCAGCCTGGTCTACAGAGCTAGTTCCAGTACAGCCAGTGCTACACAGAGAAACCCTGCCGGATATCATCACTGCCATGTGGGTGTGAACTTGACATGAAGCAGGTCTGTTCCTGCTTTCTGGATGGTAGAGAGGTCTGCACTCTACTGCCGTTCCCAGGTACAGTGGCTGGCTTTCCTGTGGCCTGGCCACGTCACCTACCTGTCTGACTTCCCAGCTGGGAAGGACATGCTCTTGTTTCCCACCGACTGTTTAAACTTTTTGACTGCCACACATTTCTGAAAGAGAAGAGTTATGTACTTTTACACCAACCTCGATCGCCAGCCCTGGGCAAGACACCTGAGCTTGGGTAGTCAGTTATCACCACAGCATGTGGCCTGACAGGGGAGCTGTGACAGGGACAGGCAGGCTCATCACAGTGCTGCCTACTGCTTGCTACACTTCACCCTCAGCCTGGCTAGCACGGCTCTGATGATGTCAGGGTGAGGCAGCAGCTCTGGCCCTGGTAGGAGACTCCAGGACACCCCGTGTAATGGCATGTCACACCCGGCAGTGGCATACTACAGCACTTATATGATGGAGGCTGGGGGCTTGTGAGCGCTAGGCCAGCCTGTGTTATACAGCAAGACTCCATCTCCACAAACAGAACATATTACCCCCACCCCCACCAACAAAGAAAACCCTACTAGAGTGTTCACTGTATTTTTCAATGGATGATACAGGAGCCAGCAAGACAGCTCAGCAGATAAAGCATTTGCCACACAAGCCCAGTGACCTGAGTCAGAGCCCTGGAGCCCACAGGGGAAGGCCAAACTACCAAACCTGGAGCCCACAGGGGAAGGCCAAACTACCAAACATTGTCGTCTCACATTTTTGCACTTCTACATGTTAATAATACATTTTTAAAAATGATTGTGGGGAACAAGTGGCAATACTGTCTATATTTGAGAAGAAATGAGGTGAGGAAAAGGGTAGAAAGATTCTCATGGTCACTGTAGCCAAGGAGGAAGACAAGAGCACTGCAGGCCACAGTGGCGCCTGCAACCTTACCTTGCCAGAAGGTGCTGGCTTATTGGGGTCAAACTGGGAGGAGGGCTTGGATTTGCTGTCCCCTGAAAGTAAGAGTGATCATGCAGTGAGCGAACACAGAGGCTGACAGGCCAGGGCTCTGCGTCCCACCACTCACCCAGGTAACCCTCCCTCTCCCCACCACCCATGAACTTTTTACCCTGTCAACACCCTCCTATAGCTTTCTGACATCCCTGCTTCAACTAACACCTGGCTCTTGGCCTCTTCTCCCCTCCCCTTACCCTACACTACTGACTCTATAAGCTACACTACTGACTCTATAAGCTACACTACTGACTCTATAAGCTACACTACTGACTCTATAAGC